ATCAGAATGAATGTTTAAATTCCGAAAATTCGAAATTTTTTGGAACAAAATTAGGAAAGAATTTTTATTCCGAATTTTTTAATCCCTGATTGGTTTCTATCCGTCCGAAAATCAGCCATGGTTCATAATTCCCTATTGTTATTATTAAAAGAAAGTAGCTTGAAAATCTTACACTAGATAGATACATAGCTTGTACTAGAGGTTAAATTCACCTAGATTCACCTTTACATTTTCACTTCATATACTCAAAAGTAGGGCAGAGCAGAGCAGACCGAAACCCATAAAGTAAGAGACAGAGAGATGTGCAGCTGCAGTATGTTTGATTATTTTAATGAATATTTAACCCAAGCCCAAGCCAGCAGCCCTTGGAAATTTGGTATGGAACCGTCTATATGGCGTGTAGTTGAGCGCTAAGCTAAGCCAACAGTAGATTTGATGGGTAGGGGAACAGAAGTTCCAGAAGCAATCAGACATGCAAAGGTTCCGGAACCGAGGCCTTTGAATAAACTAGATTTTATAAACAGCTGCTCAAGTCCGGTCCTTGCGCTGACAAAACTCCTGTGATGCTGACACAAGCACTTATATTCTGAAAAGCCTTTTGCGAGCAGCTCTAGCTAATCAAGCTATACAAGGCTTATACAAATACAAATACAAATACGAGGCTTAAGTGCTTTCACTCTCGAGCTCTGAGCAAAACACACAGATTGAGAAGGGCTTTTTGGAAAGTGAAAAAGAAGGAGCCGTTACTATTTACAAGGAGAAGAACGTTGAGCATTTACTTATAGCGAGGCTCACAGAGAGTTCAAGGAGAAGAAAGAAGCTGATTGAGAAAAGAAAGAGAGAGCAATGACAAGTGGGTTCAGGCTAATCTTTGCCACTTCACTTCTGCTCGCACTTTTGGGTTTGTTTCTCTTTCTGGTTTCCTCTGCTTCTTCTTCTTTATTTCTGTCTTTTCGTTTTTCTTTCTTTCTTTCTTTCTGTCTAATGTGCAATGGGGTTCAATGTTGATGGTGTTTCAAGTGTTTGAGCTGAAATTTCTCTGTACTCGAAGTGATTTTTCTCGTTTGCCTTATTTGGATCTTTGTTTTCATAAAGTAATCTTCTTTGGTTATCAATGGCGACTAGACTTTTTAGACAATCCACACACACATACATAAAAGAAACAAGAAAATGTCGGTGTGTTTTCTTTCAAGTTACCACTTTTGCCCCATTATTGGCCATTTGGACTTTTGGAGTGGAGTGTTGTGATCCTTGAAGAACTTTTGGAGTTTGAAATCATTCAAATTTGTATACTTTCAGCTTGCTTATTAACTCCAAGGTTCACATTTTTTTATATATTCATTAAGTATTTATCCTGATAGCGTAATATGCTTATTTGGAACCATACCTAACGCCTATATCGCTCCTAAAGGGGCAATGCTAAATTAATGATTTTCTATTCCAGTTGCTTTGCGTTTGTATTTTTCTCCAGTGGGGTGGTGGACAGCTGGAATGCAATAATTCAGTTTGGGGACCCTATCTGGTTTGGTTGTAAACAACTTGAAATGTGGACAACAAAAGTGTAATTTGCTACCTTCATAAGGTGCACAAGTATTTGTTTACTGTGTTTTGGTACCTCTACAAGCTCAAGTTATTGAGCATTTGAAAGGGTTCATTGGTGATGCAGTGTGCCTGCTATTTTTGTAATCACAGTAGAACTTGGCTTTAATTCTTGAGAGGAAGCCATGATTCTTGAAAGCCTTATACAATGTAGTATCTTTTGAAATTATTTAAGTGGCTATATTCTATGAAGGGAATTGGTATTATGAATGGTCATAGTCAATGCAGTATCTGTTTGGCTGTAAGACCTGTGGTCCAGTTGGTGTTTGCATATTTTAGTTAATCCTGCCCAATCTTTTTATTCTTTCTTTTCTTTGTTTCAACTGGCCAGCCTGCTGGCAGGCCATCAGTTTACGTATCTCTTCCAAGTTTAATGAATGCTCATTTGTTTGAATATTGTGATCTTTGTTACAGATCTTTGCAGAGGAAGTACCATTGGAATTTGCTATGGAAGAAATGCTGATGATCTTCCTACACCGGACAAAGCGGCGCAGCTTGTGCAGCTTCATAACATTAAATATGTTAGGATTTACGACTCTAACATACAGGTCCTCAAGGCCTTTGGAAACACTGGCGTTGAACTTATGATTGGGGTCCCAAATTCAGACTTGTTGGCAATTTCCCAATACCAATCCAATGCAGACACCTGGCTTAAGAACAGCATCCTGCCTTACTACCCAGCTACGAAGATCACATACATAACTGTTGGAGCTGAAGTTACTGAGAGCTCCAGTAATTTCTCTGCACAAGTAGTGCCTGCCATGAGAAATGTCCTCACAGCCTTAAAAAAGGTTGGTCTGTCTAAGAAGATTAAAGTATCAACTACACATTCTCTTGGTGTTCTGTCCCGATCATTCCCTCCCTCTGCAGGGGCTTTTAATAGCAGCCATGCATCGTTTCTGAAACCCCTGTTGGAATTTCTTGCCGAAAATCAGTCACCCTTCATGGTTGATATTTATCCATACTATGCTTACAGAGATTCCCCATCCAATGTCACTCTAGACTATGCCTTATTTGAGTCATCCTCAGATGTTATTGATCCAAACACGGGTTTGCTATACACCAACATGCTCGATGCACAGATTGATGCTATATATTACGCGCTGATGGCTCTGAATTTCAAAACAATTAAGATCATGGTCACTGAGACAGGCTGGCCTTCGAAAGGATCGCCTAAAGAGACAGCTGCAACTCCTGATAATGCCCAAACTTACAATACCAATCTGATTCGCCATGTCATTAATGATACCGGTACTCCTGCAAAGCCCGGAGAGAGGCTGGATATATATATCTTTTCTTTGTTCAATGAAAATAGGAAGCCTGGGTTGGACTCGGAGAGGAACTGGGGGTTATTTTATCCAGACCAGACAAGCGTCTACAACCTGGATTTCACTGGAAAAGGTTCTGCGGATGTGATTACACAGGCCAATGTTACCAGTTCGAATGTGACGACATGGTGCATTGCTTCAAGTAAGGCTTCTGAACTTGACTTGCAGAATGCCTTGGACTGGGCTTGTGGTCCTGGGAATGTAGACTGTACCGCTATTCAGCCTAGCCAACCTTGCTTTGAGCCAGATAATACAGTGGCGCATGCATCTTTTGCGTTCAACAATTATTACCAGCAAAATGGGGCTACTGATGTTGCTTGCAGTTTCGGAGGGACAGGGATTAAAGTCGATAAGAACCCGAGTACGTATTCACGGATCCAACTCCTGCTTTTAAACTGCATTTCTTTACTTCGTATGTCTGTTCTCTTTTCATGTATGCATGAAACGATTTTTTTCATATATGGTGCATGATCAAGTAATTATTTTAGCTGACCATCTTTTACTTGGGGATAAACAAGCATTCCTTAAAACAGAGTGAAGCAGTAGACTAAGTGGCTGGCAAGGTGTATTTGATGTGTATATGTCTGGCTGGAAAGCTAGTTTCTCATTTAACTGCCCTTCCAACTTGCTATCTGGTTCTCCTTATGCATGACATACTTGGTTAAGTAATGTTGCTATGTGATACTCTTATTTTGACGGGCAGATTTCATCGAAGTGTGAAATGCATATACAAACCTAAATTATATATCTTGCAGTTATCTTTACAAGTTTCTGAAGTATTCTTGAGAATCTGATTTGAGAGGTCTTCGCAAAACTAATCTTATTTCACTCGTGCAGGCTATGACAACTGCATCTATATGACTGCTGGGTAAGTTTTATATATGCGACATCCCTACAATTTCTGTTTGCCAATGTTGCATTCCATGTTGACCAAGTTTTCTTGTTTTGCAATTCTCATGCAGGAGCAACAAAACTGTGGCAAGTAATACAACAGCAATATCTTCTACTTCATCCATCGCCACAATGAACAGAGTTCCAACTTGGATGTTTAGTTGCCTTCTAGGGACTTTCATGTTATTTCTTTCCAAAAGTTGACCATGTCTGAGAAACTTGGATGTTAAAAGCAGTATATATTTTGCCATGGAGACCAGATATTGGTGATTCTTGTATTTCGGTGATTAGGCTATTGCAGGGGTTGGTGTTGGCTTTTGAAACTTTTTCCCTCATTTTCAAGAGGAAGAATGTAATTGCTGAATATCAATCAGCTCCCCAATTTTTGTATGATAGTGCTATATCTTCTGAAGATGGGATGACATGAGTTATATGTTTTTAGCACATGCAGAGGCTTGAGTTAGAAACTAAAGAGTTTGCAGCTTCCGATGGTTGAACTTCACACCTTAATTGGGGATGAGGAATCAGTTTATTTGGGAAATAATATCTGTAATGTAGGTTTCAAATGTAAAACTTTGAAGTGCAAGCATGATGAACTAGTCTGTTGATTATGAGCGGCAGGGTCTTTACCACCTTTCCCTTTCTATTTTTTACACATGCAGAGGCTTGAGTTAGAAACTAAAGAGTTTGCAGCTTCTGATGGTTGAACTTCACACCTCAATTGGAAAGGAGGAATCAGTGTATTTGTGAGATAAAATCTGTAATGTAGGTTTTAAATGTAAAACTTTGAAGTGCAGGCATGATGAACTAGTCTGTCGATTATGAGCGGCGGGGCCTTTACCTCTTTTCCCTTTCTATTTTGATAGATCTAATTAACCATGCAAACACCTTTAAGACAATACCAAAGTTGTAATTTCAGCAACCAAACAACACCTACCGTCTCCCCAGCCGATGCCAACCATCATCAAAGCCAATATTACCTCAATCATCTCCAAAAAATCATGCCATGAAAATTTGAACTTTTAATATTTGCAGATTTGAGCCATTTGATACTCACATGGCTTCAAGTTCCCCTGAATCCAAGGGTGCCGCACAAGCATCATATACCTTTATTCAAGGTAGAATGTAAAATTAGGTATCATCTATTGTACACCAGAGAAAACATCCAAAGAAAAGCCATGATAAAAATAAGGCATATCTATAAATTCATGCAAATCAATTTGCCACATTCATTTACTGAAATCCTGTGGACAAGTACCTCACTTGAAAATCATACAATACAATACAATTCATCAAAGGAGTACAAAGACAGTAAGACAAAGACCATAATCAACATTTCTCAAGCACCAAATTTTGTTTCCACAAGTGGTTCCAATCCCACCACTAGTAATACATGTAGTTGTTTTCACTGCAACCAAACATTTCCAGCAGCAGGATCAGAGTCAGAGTAAGAAGAAGCAAACTTTAACAGAAACCAGGAACATCCCCTAAATAAAAGAAGACATACCAAGGTCTCTAGAGACCCTGCTCAACCAGATAATCACCAAGCCTTTCAACAATCATGTTGCATTGGCCAGGAGTCATTGGCTCATCATAAATGCCAATCAGCAAAGCAAGAGTGCTCTTCTTGACAGTAACACCACCTGGTCCCTGAAATTGAAATGACCCAAAATCAGATCAGAAACCATGAAAACAAAAAAATCAAAATGCATAAGCATCAATGATGTGCATAGAGGTTGTGAGCAGTATAAAGAATGAATGTGATTAACTTAGTAAAGGTACCTTCTTTCCTCTAATGACAGCTCCTGGCTCTCCTTGAATGACCATGTACTTTGTGCCTCCAAGATACAACCCAGTTGGAGCAAGTGAACCAGGTTCATTGAAATCATTCAGAATGCCAGTCACTTCTTCAGGCTTCAACTATACAGGTCAAGCAATAAACATAACACTAATCAATCAAAGCAGTATATAAATGAAAAACATGGTATCCAAAAATGAGATTAGACAAACCCAAATCGATTTGATTCAGTCAATCAAACTTTGACTTACCCACCAAGATCAAAGCTTTAAGCAAGATGGTATGCACAAAACATTGATGTGTTCTGACAAAAAGGAAAAAATGGAACCTGAGGGAAAGTGGCGCTCTGGGCCCACACGCTGCCGTCGTGGCCGATGATGGCGGCGGCAGAGAGGTGGTTGCCTTCAATTTCGCACATCAGATGGTCGTCTACGTACGTTTGCCACGACATCTTTGTTGTTGTTGCTGATTTTGAGGTTTTTTTGTTCTTGGGTTTCTGTGTGTTGTGGGATTTTGTGTTATCGGAGTTTTGGGTGTCTAAGAAGGAAAGATCAGCTTTTGTTCAGCCTCTAGTCTTCTATACTGAACAGCAGCGTTGAAACAACGCACGAATGTAGGGTGAGTCTATTTAAAATCAAAAAAATTCCCCATTTTCCCACACCTTTTTACTTTTAATTCGAATTTTGACCAATAAAGCAAATAACTTTGTTTTAATTAACTGTGAATTCACGACGGGTGCAGTGATATAGTCCGATGACTTTTTTTCTAATAAAATTTGAAATATTTTGAAAACTAACCATGTTTCTATAAAAATGAATATGTTCCTACTTTCTCTATGATTTTGTGCAAAAATATATCATCTGTAATTGAAAGTCTTAATCTTCTTACAAATTATAAATAGGCAAGAATCCTCTAATGTGGGATGGAAGATGCAGGATTAATGCAAATAGCATTTTTGCACAGAGGAATATATGCCAGGCAATTTGAATCCCAATTGGCATAAGAATATGCTGATTTGCTTCCAAATCCTCAATTGATTTCTGATTTAATATTCAAATTTTAGTTCTTTATTTATAGAAATGATTTCTTATTACACAATAATGATATGTAATATAAACTTTTGATAAAGTGGAATCTTGTTGAGTTAAACGGATCATCAATGTTAACAATTTAACAAGAGAATCTCTATTCTAGTCACATTTGTTTCTTTTTTGTAATTGTAACGAATGGTCAAGTTAGAAGATCTAACTGTCTCAAAATAAAAAGTTCGAGGATCCAATTGAAAGTCGAGAGTAAATTCAAGGACCTCTGAAGTTAAAAACCAATGGAAAAATAAAATAGTTGGACTTTTGGTTTGCTCATCATTTCTTATATTAAGCCTATTAATTAACTTAGATTTTCTGTCCCATCACTTTCCAAAAGAAGAATTATTAATATTATTATTGACTAGATATTCCCCTATGATATGTGATGTGAGGACAGTAACTTGTCATATCTGAGGTCCTCTTGTTTGTTTATACAAAAATCATATCCTCCGTGAGGATTCATTTTGCCCCACCAAAAAAACAAAATGATGACAAATATTCTCTTGCCAGCAAAACTAGTATTTATTGAGGGATGTAAATTCAGAGTCTCAAATGGCAAAGCAAACTGTCTAATATACCAAAACAGTTCCCATCCTCTTCAAACATGAGACACAAAAACTGGAGGATCTTTTCTTTGAAAAAACCCACTGGTTGCCAACTAGCAATGGGGCATGAAAGTGCATCAATGAGATGGCCAAAGGACAACAGGGAAACAGTTCTTAGATTAGATGCTTCCTCAGTCTTCTCTGTATGAAACTTGTTATTTTTATTCATTATTGTACCAAGAATGTAAAGCAAATCTTTAGAAAATTTAAATAAAAAATCACAACCAGCTAGTCAAATATGAGCTGGCAAGCTTTTGCCAGGCAAAGATTCTTTTAGGTATGCTCCAATGGAATATATAACTTAGAAGAGGAAAAAACTACACACAAGGGATACAAATATTATCATGAAATATCAAGTTTTATGCAATTCAAGCAACCAAACAACTGCTTTTAGTCCTTCTCAGATGGTTATTGTCTGCAACAACTTCAACTTCACCACCAATTTTAAGTGGCTTTTTGGATGAAGGAGATGCAAACTGGGAACCAAAACCCCAAAAAAGAAAAAAAGAAAAGCAACAAAAATCCAAAATTGAAATACTAGGGTCATGATAGATATAAGCCTACAGGCCCTGGTCAATGAGGTAATCCCCCAACCTCTCAACAACCATGTTGCACTGCCCTGGAGTCACAGGTTCTTCGTAGAGTCCAAATACTAGAGCTTGTCCAGTTTTCTTTATAGTGATACCTCCAGAGCCCTACAAAAATCAATCACAGAGAACATGTTTTGATTAAAACCTGTGCAAAATAACTTCAACCCAATAGATTATGAGCTTAGATAAGTTAAAGCAAGTAGATAAATATATAGAGAGAGCGCTTCAGTTAAGGGATCCCTCCGTATATGTATAAATGAACTGATTGATCATAGGGTTAATTACATGGAGACATATGAGAATGATGGTACCTTCTTTCCACGGATGACAGCGCCAGGCTCTCCCTGGATTACCATGTACTTTGTGCCCCCAAGGTGCAACCCGGTCGGAGCAAGATGACCCGGTTCTTCGAAATCCTTGTTGATCCCAGTCATCTCCTCTGGCTTAAACTGCAATGGAGATGTTAATATAATGAACCGAAATTGAATGCTTAAGAGATCAATGACAAAGCAGCATGCAATGCAGCTACGTCTAAGTTTTTATCACCAAATAGTACAAGATGAAGATAGGACCTGGGGGAAGGAAGCGCTCTTGGCCCAGACACTGCCATCGAGACCGATAATGGCAGCCGCAGAGAGATGCTGGCCTTGGCCGTCAATGTCACACATCAAGTGGTCATCCACGTAGGTCTGCCACGACATTTTGTGTTTCCTCTGTTATTGTGAGCAGAGTGTGTGTCTTTTGTTTTGCGTGTGTTGGTGATTGTTGTTGTGTTGTTGCACAGGCTATATGAAGCGTATAGCTTTGGGAGGATATTATATGGTTGGGGAGGGAAGTGAGAGGCTCTTTTTTTCCTCTTTGTTTGTTTGGCGGAGTTATTGGTATTGTGGGTTTGGTCACTCCATTGTGGCAAGTTTGACAAAAGAAAATTATAAATAGGAAGAGGAGAGAAATGTGAGGAGAGCCTTGACAGAGAAAAAGGGAGGCTGGGAAAGGTGGATCTCATCTGATGGCTCACCCCCGTTCTCTCCTTCTCTCTCTCTCTCTTTCTCTCTCTCTCTCCTCCTCCCTCCC